AAATGAAAATGGGTTCATGAATTTGAGATCGAGCCATTGGGCTTAAATTCATTGGGATCCATTTGTTAGTTTAACAATAATTTGGCCAATGAAGGGATGACAGTGCAGTTCATTGGGCAGTAATCAAAAGGAAACCAACTGAAAAGTCTTATTAAGAAGATGAATGTGCATCAATAAGTTTTTATGATTTTTTGTGTGTAAAAAAAAAAACTTATTTATTTTTAATTATTATCACAAAATTCTATTTTTATTTTTTTTAGCAGTGTTTTTATAAAAAAGTGTCATCAATTATTAGTTTTTAGCGACAATTGAAAAAATTGTCACGCAAAAACATCATTAATTGTCATTTTTTAGCAACATATTTAAAAAATGATCATAGAAAAGCGTCACCATTGCTTATGGGACTTAATAGTGCACAGGTCTTTATAACAGTACCGGCATATAATTACCTGTAATAAAAATTGTGTCAAAAAATTAAGTATAAAAGGCGTCATAAAAAAGTGACCTCTAAGATTAGACCCTAAGGAGTCAAGGTCCTAGATGTCACCCTTAGGTGATCCTACATAGTAAGACCATTCAACCATATAATGGTAAGTCATAAACTCGCACATAGGCGAGGATTCGAACCCACATTTCTAACACTGGGTACAATTCATCCAAGCCTGAAAAGTTTATCCTATCAACTATATGTGATGTCTTCTCGAGTAGCTGGCCTCGAGAAGAATGAAACCTGGTATCTAATAGTGCTTAAAATTTAAAATGGGTTTTCATTACTTGAGGGACAACGTGTACACGAGCTAATGTGATTGTCAAGCTGGGTATGCCCATGTGCTCTCTTTTGAGTCGGTTTTATGGATGTGTTCGAGCTACAACGCCTTAACCAAAGACCTAAAAAACCATCCATAGGTTGGGACAGGATGAGCAGGAAAGCAAGCTGGGCTAAGCCATGGAACGAGTAGTCTGAGTTATGTGATATTAGATTTTCTGTTCACGAACCATTTGATAACCCTAGTATAGGGGTTGTTTGATCAGGGTTTATAAGGGAAGTATAAGGGTGGCCGGATATAAAATTGATGGGACTCGTTTGTTTTTCTTTCTTATTTTTTATATCTCATGTTTGGTTGATTTGAATGTAGGGCGCCTATAATAACCAAACATAGTAAAAATAGACTCTGCATATAATTTAACTGATACTCTAAACATATTATATCATATTTATATCTATAAATATTATATATCTTTTTCCAAACACTTGTATCAAATCCAAACAATCAAACATAATCATAGTCTCTTAAAATTGAGGAGCTACATACATTTCATCCCCGACACCTTACTTAACAGCATATTTGTGTACTAAGTTATATTCTTAGTTTTTTTACTATTTTATATTATCAAAATATACATGATAAAATATTATTGGGTATGTTATATTAATCTCCTTTGTGATTTGAAAAAAAAAACAATAAATTTTATAATTTTAACATAATTACATTGAGTTTTATTAAGATTTTAATTCATATAAACACTTCTTATTTTCATCAATAATTTCTTAGTTACATAGATAAAAATAATAATAATAATAATATTGTCATATTTTTTATATAAAAATATAGGAAAATGTTTTGTAGCTCGAAACATCTTCCCCCCGAATGGCCTGATTTTCGGAAACGACGTCATTCTGGTTTTGATTTTTTTTTTTTCTTTCCCTTCAACTTCTCCTTTCTCTCTCAAAGGTTGAACCAAACCCAGAGAGAGAGAGAGAAGGAAAAAGAGAGGAAGAGGAGGTTGATGGCGATGATGATGTGTTGATGGTGATGATGTTGTTGTTGATGAAGATGTTCGCCGATGAAGATGATGAAGGAGCAACTGGGGTTGATGATGTGTTGATGGTGAACATGATGAACATGATGGTGAACATGTCTTCGGTGAACATGATGAACATGATGATGTGTCGATGGTGATGATCTGATGAAGATGTTCGCCGAAGTTGATGAAGATGTTCGTCGATGATGATGTGTTGATGGTGATGACTCTGCTATCACACCTTTTTCAATTTCGGGCGATTTGGAGGGCTCGTTTTCGAGTTGCATAGCAGAGCTCAAAAATATATATTTTGCGTTGTTTGTTTTTAAGTATTTTTGCATTATTTTCATTAGTTCAATTCATTTAAGCTTACTACAAGAAAAAATTAATGTAATTATATCAGAATTATAGAATTTACTTTTTTTTTTTCAAATCTCAAAAGAGGTCAATGTAATTTATCTAATATTATTTAACTTCGTTGTTTAATTAGGGTCTAGATGATCATCTTAACTTAAAAAAGTATTTGGGCTTCATAGGCTTATTTTGGGACCGATCTTAGTAATCCAAACTATTTACCTTTTAGTACTCGTTGAGTAAAATATTAATGTAAAAAATTAAGCTACTATATATTTGAATAACATTTATATTACGAAAATGAATGGCTACTATTAAGATTATAATTGTCATCAATTGTTTTAAAATTTAAATATATAGCTACTGATATCTAATAATTTTAATTTTTTATATAAATAATTTAAAAAATAACTATTCATATCACCATGCTTGTCTAAAAACTCAAACTCTCTCTCTCTCAACTTGAATGGCCACCTTGAGATAATTGAATCCATTTAATTAATGTTTATTTTCAAAACAAGAATTAAAAATCAAGGAGGATTCTATAATACATTCCTCACCATATGCACCTTAATTACGCCATTTTTTTTTTCTTTAGTTACAACAAATTTTCTTTTTTAGTTATAACATTATTTTGAAATGTTTGATTATGCCTAATGTAGTTTTGGTTATGCTTTTTTCTTTTTAATTATAACTCAAAAAATATAAAATTTTGTCATTTTTTCTTTAATTATAAGGTTCTATAGTCTTTCCCATGAAATCGATCATGAATATCAACAAAACAAGGGTTGGTTTGGGAAATTGATTATTTTAACTGTCTTTTTAGCTTTTTGATTATTTTAATTTAGCTAAAAAAATTGTGTTTAAAAAGTTGGTTAGCGCCTCCGTTTGGGAAGTGGGTTGGCTTTTTGACTTTTTGGCTATTTTAACCTGGGTTATTTTGTCCTGGTTTGGGATGGGCTTTTTGACTTTTTGACTTTTTTGGCTTTTTTTGTGAGAGAGGATTGTAATGATTATGGGTTGGATTTGATGTTTTGTTTTTTGTGGCTAAAATAGCCTATTTTGTTTTTTATGGCTATTTTAGCCAAAAAAAGCCTGGGCTTTTTCTTGCCAAACGGAGGCTTAATTAATGTTTATTTTCAAAACAAGAATTGAAAATCAAGGAGGATTCTATAATACATTCCTCACCATATGCACCTTAATTACGCCATTTTTTTTTTCTTTAGTTACAACAAATTTTTTTTTTTTAGTTATAACATTATTTTGAAATGTTTGATTATGCCTAATGTAGTTTTGGTTATGCTTTTTTCTTTTTAATTATAACTCAAAAAATATAAAATTTTGTCATTTTTTCTTTAATTATAAGGTTCTATAGTCTTTCCCATGAAATCGATCATGAATATCAACAAAACAAGGGTTGGTTTGGGAAATTGATTATTTTAACTGTCTTTTTAGCTTTTTGATTATTTTAATTTAGCTAAAAAAATTGTGTTTAAAAAGTTGGTTAGCTTTTTTTCGTAATTGATTTGATGACAATGAGAGAAAAAATAAAATAATTATGATTTGAATATGACATTTTATCTTATTAATTATTTTAATATATTTAATTTTATTAATTATTTTAACCAAAAAAAAACCATTGTCAAACACGGCCTAAGTTATTATTTGTAGCGCACAATTTGGTGTAGTTGTTAAAACAGCTTATAGATTATAACTTAACAGATTATAGATTATGACTTTAATCAGAAGTTGTTTAATCTGTTTGGTGTAATTGTTGGATTATAGATTTAAGTTGCTGAGTAATGTTTGTTAAATAAGTTGTGAAATAGCTTTTTTAATTAATTTTTATTTTTTGTTTGTCTACATTTCTTATAAAAAATAATAATAATAATGTATAGTCTATTTGAATCTTTTTCTATTTATAAAAAAATAAAAAATAAAAAAAATTAAAAATATAACCATAAATTAACATGTCCACACCAGAAGCTGATAATCAGAAGTAAAGGGTGAGCAGCTTCTCAGAATCAGCTTTTTTTGAGTTAATAAGCTGTTAGAATCAGAAACTGCTTGAAATAAGTTTAATCAAACAATCTAAAATAATTTTTTCAACACTAAAAGCCATAAATTATCTGAAACGAACACCCCAATGCCTCGCCACCCTGATAATTCGCGGGTCCGAAAGGTAATACGGTTTTCTCTCTCTCTCTCTCTCCTTTGTGTTCTCTCTCTTTCTCTCAATCGACACCAGGTCCAGAACTCTCTTCTCTCTCTCTCTCTCTCTCAACACATTATGTTTCTTTCCATTCCCCATTCAGAAAAAGACGCCTGAAGAACTGCCACACCACTGAACAAACGAAAAGGCTCTTTAATCTCACAATGAAAATTTGATTATCAGAAGGTTTGTTCTCTTTTATTTGTACTTACATTCCGTTTTTCGATATGGGTTTTAGTTATTTTCTCTATTGCATTTCTGGGACATTCGATTCTCTCAATCCTCTGTTTGGTTGCTGACAAAAACAGAGGAGGAGAAAGAAAAATTTATTAGTTTCGAATCTGAGATTACCCACACTTGTGTAGGTTCGTCACATTTCACTAAATGTAATAAAAATTCTGATTTTTTTTTTCTTTTTTTCGTATGTTTCTCTACATTTTCCTCAGCAATCAAATATTCTGTGATTCTTTTTTGTGAACAGCATGCATGCATGTTAAATAATGTAATATGGATCTAGAGTTTGTATTAAATACATTGGTATTCAATTCTCTTCATACATCAAACTGTTTTATTTAGTTTATCTTATTTTATTTTATTTTATTTTTTGTTTGCTTTCTGGACAATTAGTTTGTTCTTCTCATTTGGGACTGGCACAAACACAAGCAAAATGTCTGGTTTTGAGGGTGTTGTTGTTTCTGATCCATGGCTTCAAAGCCAATTCACTCAAGTTGAGCTTCGTGGCCTCAAATCCCATGTATGTAATTTTATTAATTTTTTTGGGTTTTGCTTTCTTTCTTGAATTCATTTATCAACAACATTGTATGGACAAATATTTGGCTTAGTGGCAATTTCTGTTTGTTTTTGGTTATAGTTTCTTTCAGCAAGGAACCAATCTGGTAAAGTCACGTTGGGAGATTTGCCTCCAGTGATGATGAAATTAAGGGGTTTGAGTGAAATCTTTAACGAGACGCAGGTAAGGACTATCTTGGGGGAGTCTTCTTCTGACATGAGCCAAGAAATTGATTTTGAATCCTTCCTTCGGGTGAGTTCCCAAAGATGTAACTGGCATTGCTTCTTTTTCTTTTTTCTGTTATTTGTTGTTCCTAATATTTTTCGTACTTGGTGGAGACTTTTTAGCTTTTGAATAGTTGAAATAAGATAATTAAATAGAGGCTGAACAATTATGCCAGTTCATAAGCAGACATGGTTAAATTTGATGGTTCTCTCATTTATACCTTTTTGGTCGATGAAATATATGTAATTGGGAAACCAAAAAGCAATAAGATTTTGCAGATGAGCGGGCCTCTAGTAACTTGCGTTGTTTATTTATCATCATCTCTTATGTATTATTAATGTTATTCACGTTTATACTTCATAAACTAGTGGCAGCTGCAAAGGCAATGCGTTTACAATTGTACATCTAAATGAATTGGAAAACTGATTAGCAGCAGTTACTGGATATGGAGTTTTAGCCCTTACCAATTTTAGGGGTATTTTGGCAAGACAAAAATGCATAACCAAAAGCTTTGGAGTTGTGTGTTTCATATAATAGAATAGATAAATAGAATTGATGAAATATAGCTTTCTAAGTAGCCAAAAGAAATAAAACCTAAGTCGGATTTTGTGATGGGCAGGCATGCCTGAATTTACAAGCAAGAGGAACAGCAAAAGCTGGTGGACCGAAATTGAAAAGTTCAACTTCATTTCTCAAGGCTACCACAACAACCCTCCGCCACACCATTAGTGAATCCGAGAAGGCCTCTTTTGTTGCCCACATTAACAGCTTCCTCAGAGAAGATCCATTCTTGAAGGAATATCTTCCTCTAGACCCATCTAACAATGCTTTATTTGATCTTGCAAAGGATGGAGTTCTTCTCTGGTACATATAAAGATCCACTTGACACTTCAATTGAACTAAGAAGTACATATACAAACACGTGACACAATACAGACACATAGACATGCAAATTTTCAGAAAATTCCAGACATGACACGGCGCGGACACATGCAAAACATATAATTTTATATTTATTATGTCATATATTTTTTTAAATCACATATTTATTTTATGTTAAATACTTATTTTTATCAAATTATCAACCTTGGTTATGCTATTCCGGTAAAAATAAATAAATAAATTAAATACTGTCCATAGCATGGTGAACTCTCTCCAACGTGTCAGACACCGATATGTGACCTCTGGAGAGGTGTCTATGCTTACATGAATGTTTGTAGTTTGTTAATATATTACTTCTGTCATGCAGTAAGCTCATCAATGTTGCTGTCCCTGGTACAATAGATGAGCGAGCTATCAACACCAAACGGGTCCTTAATCCATGGGAGAGGAATGAGAATCACACTCTTTGCCTCAATTCTGCGAAGGCTATAGGCTGCACTGTGGTTAATATTGGCACACAGGACTTAATTGAAGCAAGAGTAGGTTAAGCTAATGCTAACTATTTCATTGAAATGTTGTTTATATTTTCCACTGCTGATACAGAAGTCGCTGAAGTCTCTTTCTTTTGCCCTGTTTTAGCCACATCTGGTAGTGGGGTTGATTTCTCAAATAATCAAGGTATCTTTACTTTGTCCAACGGATATTTTCTCGAGATACGTAGATTTTGATCACCATAGCTCTCAATCGTGTTTGTATTTATGTTTGGCTGCAAGATCAGATTCAACTGTTAGCTGATCTCAATTTAAAGAAAACTCCTCAACTGGTGGAATTGGTGGATGACAGCAAGGTCACAGGATGTTAATTGTTTTTACCTCCATTGATATTGTAGTGAAGAAATAGAGTATTATGTTTTACACTTTGATATTTTATATTTGAATTAAATAAGTGACGAAATTTGCAGGATGTTGAGGAACTCATGAGTTTACCTCCCGAGAAGGTTTTACTCAAATGGATGAATTTCCAACTGAAGAAAGCAGGCTACAAGAAACAGGTTACAAATTTTTCATCTGATCTGAAGGTAAGAAAAAATTCACCGGTTTCTTAATGATGAAGCACTCTTGGTTTAAATCTAGTGGCAACAATAATTTAAGTTTGCTTGATTTGGTGATCAGCACACATAATTATATTGAAATGATTTGCATCTACCTTTAGATGATATTACCTGGAACATTGTGGTCCTACTTATAGCATTCGGGCAAAGTTAGGGAGGTGCCTCCTTCGCTTGTAAATTATGGGTGGGGAGGAAGGGGGGAAACAAACAAAGAAAGCGAAAACACAGTCAACATTTTTAGTTTGGCCGCTCTCTTATGGCTTCTTCGTTCTTTACTACTCCATGCATAGTGAATTTTTGCACAATTCAATGGTTCTGTCAATGTAATCTTTGCATTCTTGGGCTAAGATTTCTTTATAATTTAAAATTTATATTCCCTTTTCCAGTTTTATATTTTATGCATAAAACCTTCCCTTTTACAATATTAGCCCATTGATACCCTCAGATTTTATTGTTGACATTCTCTATTTTTTTTTTCTTCCCCGAACCCCCCGATATGGACCCCCTCCCTTCTTTTGTACATCAGAGGTCACAGCTAAGGGAGAGGGAAAAACCTTGAACCCTTGGTCTTCTAGTGAGATGCAAGGGTGTTAGCCAATGGGGCTAGCAACAGTTGGTTTTTATTGTTGACATTCTACTTTTATCATTTCTTAATTAAGATACACGAATTTTAAATAAGTGATTGACAATCTGACACTTAAAATAAAAAGTTGAATGGATCCTAGGTTCTGAAGTAATTTATATTGACAAGTTAACAACTACATGTTAATTAGTTATTGTTCCTTGAGGGTTAAATAGAATTTCAATTCAAATAATCATGCAAGCTTTGCAACATCACATGGAAGACACATTGGACTGCAATTGAAAACAGCAAAGGATGAATTTCACCTAATAAACCACAGTGATAAATTTCATTGTGATTGTAAATGTTAATCAACATAAAACAAAGTAATGTAATCATCTTTTTAACATATATTAAGAATATTGAATCATCTATATTATGAATAGATGTGATTAGCGCTAATTTAGATCCTTTCCACATTTTTGTATCTTGGTGGCCACTCCACCGTTGCCTATATAGTAGATCCTCTCCATTGTACAAAGCAACATATCGAAATTATCTCTCTTATTTTCTTGTTTTCTACATTGTATCGGAGCCGTCAATACTTGTGGCCTAAATTCTCAATTAAGCTTCCACTCTGTAGAAGGACGGCCCCTTTGCTGCCTTCGCTCGTTGGACCCTCAAATCATGACTCCTACTTTAGCCGAGCACTCTCTTTTTTTATGATTCACCAATAGCCTGCCAATTTTTACAATCTTAAACATCACTATCACCCACATCTTATCACGGCCACTCCAAATCCGTCTGTTTCTTCTGCCTTTCTCACACTGCCTCACTCTAGTGCATTTTTTAGATGCCCTTTCCTGTGGTAGAAGACCAGTCTAGTCCTCGTGAAAGAAGTCATATTCAAACCTCCCTGTCCTGTCCACTCCAGTCTTGAACCGGAGGAAGAAGTCCAATTTGGTGGCCTCTTTGTCCATCCTTGTCTTTTGTAAGAAGTCATGTTCAACCTCTTTAGTCCAGTCCTCCCACGATGGAAGAAGTCAACTCCAGACCTCTTTGTTCACTTGCATGTCTGATGCCAAGACAGTAAACTAGCTCTTAGTGGTCTTCCATCACCATGACCACCACACTTGCCTTTATCGCAGTAAATCATCTCAACCTCCGCAGGTTCGCTATTCGGATATCGCCCAAGGCTCTTTTTAGATCTCTAGCAGCCATGCGGTCCACACCATCGTAGATTTTCTTCCAAACTCAAGTTGGTCTCAATTGTCTCAACCTACTTGAGTTTGAGGGGGGATGTTAATGTATATTAGGAATATTGAATCATCTACATTATGAATTGATGTGATTAGCCCTAATTTATGTAATTAGCTCTAATTTAGATCCTTTCCATATTTCTGTATCTTGGTGGTGGCCACTCCACACTTGCCTATATAATAGATCATCTCCATTGTACAAAGCAACATATCAAATATATCTTTCTCTTATTTTCTTATTTTCTACACATTTGATAATAAAGAATTTTATGTCTCATTATACTTTAGTAACTTAGGAAGTGAAGTGTCTTTTATTACATTACCCAATTTATGCCAGGTTCAGGAGGACATCTTTGAGATACTAACATGCTAAAGACATGCAAGTAGTCGGATGTAGCATTCCGTTAATATCAGTAAGAGTGCTGATATATATAATCACATTTCTCACCTCATTTTCTCACTCCAAGACACAAAGCAATGGGGCCCACATCAATAAATGCACATGGGACCCATTGACTTGTGTCTAGGAGTGAGAAAATGAGGTAAGAAATAGGATTATATGTAGCATTTTCCAATTGTATTTCATCTCCATAAAATATGTAACTCAAAGGCAATTTCTAGGCTTGCACTCCACCAGCCCACCCAATGAAAGAAAGAAAGAAAGAAGACTAGAGATTCTTTTCACATAATATTTACCTATTAAGTGTGACCTTCTGAGCATTTCGCGAAACAATCACTCTTGATCCTGCAATTTGCAACAATAAAACTATTGTCTCATTAACATTTACTTCTAGGTCGAAAGTTTTAATCTACAAGCAGAAATTCAGAGGCAGTTTTCTCTTCACTACTCTGGTAAAAGGACTTTTATATAGCAAAAATAAGTTCTTCAAGTCAAGCCACAAGTTACTTTAATGGAGAGGAAATAACCAAAACTGGATTTTTGTGTTGTATTCTTTATTAGCTTTGTGATTCATAATTTGTTCTTAAGGAGAAACTTCCATAGGTGATTATGCATCATATCAATGATTGACAAGCCAAAACATACCTTTGGGATATTTACCTTCTAAATTTAAATATTTGTATTTGCAATTAGTTGTGTCCTTTCTTTTGTATTTTTCTCTAAAATAATGTTATAGACTTGTGCACTTGCAGGATGGTGAAGCCTATGCTCATTTGCTCAATGTGCTTGCACCAGAACATGGTAGTGCCACCACGCTGGATGCTATGGATCCTAATCGAAGAGCAAATATGATTATTGAGCATGCAGAGAAAATGGATTGCAAAAACTATGTCACTCCAAAGGACATTGTTGAGGGATCACCAAATCTAAATCTTGCATTTGTTGCTCAAATATTCCAGCATAGGTAAGCATTGACATTTTATTTGTTGGTCTGAACCTAAAAAACACGGACGCTTCTATGGAGGATGTCTTAATTAAAAAATCAAATTCATAAGATTAGACATTTTATCGACACTTTGCAAACACTTCGACGACACTTCTTGACCCTCTGAACACGGCCTATGTGATGAATACCTTCATGATAAGAATGTCCTACATTCTTCTATGCACTCTAAACATGTTTTGAAACATTAATAAGATGAATATATCATACGTATTGCAATATTTTATAATTGTCATTTTAGAATATAATTTTTACGTGAATGATATCTTAATGTTTATTTTATGAAATATATGTAGCCTTTTTATGTAACTAGTGGGTGCGTGTGTAAATTAATATCATAATATGTATGTTGTCTAAATAGTAAGAATGTTCTTAATAATATCTAAGGTCTTAGGTTCAAATCTTGCTCACGCCTTTGAATAATATTTTTTTATTTTAGGAAAGGAAAATTTGCCACATGGCAGAAGGAGAAGCCACCACACTATTAGATGCCAAGTCATGTGCTCACATATAGGGGTGTGTGCGGTGCGGGTCGGTGCGGTTTGAGAGAAAAATAGAAACCGTATGGTGGGTGGCGGATTGATAAAAGTGTCACTAGAATTTGTCATTTTCCTTATCAAAAACCGGCGGTTCGGTTGGCAAATAATGACTGTAAGAATTTATGTATTATTGATTGATATTTGATTGATATCTATTTGGTTTCGGCGGTATTATGCACACCCCTACTCACATATATAATTGTACAGATTAGTGTTATGTTACATATTTTCATTATCTTTAAATAAATTATTCATATATATATCACATATAATAAATTTAGAAAAATATAATATTTTAACGTGTCTCAAGCATGTTATGTCCTGTGGTTTTTGAAGGTTAGTGTGTCCATGTTGTGTCACATTTTCATGTCTGTGCTACTTAGCACATAACTTGTGGGGCAAATGCATGATACTTGAGACCCACCACATGCCATCTTGGAAGTATCTTTGTCAACTTAGATGGTTAAATTCATTCAGTTTAGACAATATTTTGGGCACTGAAAAGAAAAATTATAATTGGCTCTAAAGTTTGTGCATGCATACCTGTTAACACATCCAGTTATATTGAGTTGGCTAAAAGAGTATTAAAGATAATCTGTGCACCAATTGGAAATATGATAACATACCAAGCAAAGAACAAAATTTAATTTATTTTCCATCAAAACGTTTTCATTTCCTAGTAAAGCAAAACTAAACATAAGTGGAATATTAAAGTTCCAATGTTTGATGTAACAAAAACGAAACATTAGTGGAATTCCAAAATTCTAATGTTTCCATCAAAACATACTGAAACAATGAGTTGTTTCGACACCTATTAAAAATATTTAACATTACTAATTTTCATTTGCCCTTTTTTTCTCAAAAGAAAATATTTGAAAACAAATAAAAATATTAATCTTAAAACAATCATGGGCGTTTTTTTTTTTCAAATAAAAATATTAATCTTACTAGAGAATCTGATAAACTAGAAAGTAGAAGAGGAGAGATATAAAGGGGAAGGAAAACAATCATGATTAAGTCGTTTATTCTCTTTGTTTGTTATTGAAAAGTACATTTTTTTTTCATCCCTACTAGGCTACTACTACTAGAATGTTTCATATATTTTTAAAGTTTTTTTCCTTACAATTGGCAAACCTATTCTCCTACTAAGCCTTCAAACCTTTTGTTTATGAGTAGACCACACAATGTTCAATTATTTAATTACTAAGAATGTATTAGCATTTTATTTAGGTTTTGGTTTAAGTTTTTGTTTCGAAACATTTGTCAAATGTTTTGTTTTCTTTCTAATGTCCCTTATGTTTTCGAAATGTTTCTAAAACATATATGTTTCCAAGCTAACTGAAATTTTTTGACATTTGATCCTTGATCAGCCTTGTTTGGGATGAGGTTTTTTTGACTAAAATAGACAAAAAGCCAAAACACCCAATCACATCACTCTCTCTATTTTTTTGCACATCTTTTTGTAAAAAGCCAACATGCTAACTAAAATAGTCAATTCCCAAACAAGCTAAGTGATGCAGGACGAATAGAGACAGCACCGTAAGGGCTGTTCTGGGGCTGTGAAGGTGCTGAAATTTAAGGAAAAAAAGAAAAAGAAAACGAAGAGGATAGATTTAGGAATCACTCTTAGAATTCCTTAGGCATCACACCAAGGGTTTGATTGCATCGCACAACCAATAAAGAAGCATTACATGGTTCAAAACTCTCAACTTTTTATAAAATATCAACTCTATCAAATTATAAGCATTACATATAGGACTAGAAAACTTCATAAACAAACTAGAACTAAAATAGGAAACCACCAAAATATCTTTGACTTCCAAAACTAATTCAAGACTAAATAAGAAACAAAAACAAAGACTAATTAAATAACTTGACTCACAAGACGACCCATGGGCGACCCCTACAGCCCATGTAGGCAAACATAAAATTATCAAAATACCCCCCCGCCTAAAACTCCTAGAAACATAAAAATAATCATAAAATAAAACTATAATAATATTATAACCATGATTATGTATGGTTCCTATCAATTTCTTTGTAAAATCATTTCAATTTTCAAATATCGCCGCTTCTTTGAATTTGCTCTTCCTTGAGCTTCTTATATTCTACATCATTCTCCCTTGGTTAGAAAAAAAACTCAACCACGATTTTAGAAGTGTTGAAGTATAAGCATCCACAAGCTTTGGAATTGCTTCCACGGCTTCATGTTAAAATCTTTAAGTTGTCGCCGTCTTTTCTTTGTTGGAGATAGGAACAAAAATATTGAGAAATTAATCTAGTCCTTCATGATACTAAATCTGTCAGGAATGACAAAATCAATCAAAAGAAGTGAAACATCCTTGAATTGATCCAAATCTTGGGCTGCAAAATTTATTTTGTGAAATCTGTTCTCATTTGGCTCTGCAAGGCACTGTTTGTAATCAATTTGAATACTTTCACCCACATCATTAATTGCGGATTCCAAACTTTCATCCTCCTTTTCAACCAATATTCATCATGTAGTTCAACATTGCCATCCCTTTGGAAAATATTAGAATCTGTCGTAGAGAATTGAGGCAACAAATTGTTGGCCTATAAAGCCATATTAGGATCGGTGTCAACAACTGGATCATGTAATTCTTCAATCCCTACAGCTTGTGTGACATTCGAGTCTTCTATTTAGACCTCATCCTCTTCTTGAATAACAACTAGGTCTTCTTGGGGTGCTTTTGAGTCATCAATAAGATTATTTTTTCCCCTTATAATCTGACCGTTTACGACCTTCTGTTGGGCTGCTCGTCTTTCCAAAGAATTAAGCCGAACTTGAAAACTATCTAACTGCTCCACAATTTTAAAAAGAATTTGATCTCTTTGGTTTTAAGAAAATATTCCCTTTTCAAGAGTTCTAGGATGCGTAAATATGTTTTTGAACTTCCACAAAACAATAGGATCTTTCGCTTTGATACCAAACTGATGTAGGACGAATAGGGACAGCGCCGCAAGGGCTGTTCTAGGGCTGTAAAGGTGCTGAAATGTAAGGGGGGGAAAAAAGAGAGAAGAAGATAGATCTAGGAATCATTCATAGAATTCCTTAGGCATCACACCAACGGTTTGATTGCATCACACAACCCATAAAGAAGCTTCAAAGCTCTCAACTTTTTATAAAATATCAACTCCCTAGAATTATAAGCATTACATGATTTTATATAGAATTAGGAGACTTTCTAAACTAACTATAACCAAAAAAGAAAACTATTATAATATCTTTGACTTCTAAAACTAATTTAAGACTAAATAAGAAACATAAATAGAACCTAATTGAATAACTTGACCCACAACACGACCCATGGGCAACCCCTACAACCCATGACAACAGTAATGAAAATTATCAAAATAACCTTGACCTAAAAATCCTACAAATCAAAAAAATAATCATAAAATAATACTTTAATAATACTAGAAACCTATGAAGCACGGATACTTCAAATAGGAAGACGTATCCGTATTGTATCCGTATCGGATACCGATATTCCTTGGATACTTACGGATACGTATCAGATACTTATTAAAAGTATCGGATACTTCTTAATTAATTTTTCATTAATTTTGAAGTATCGGATACTTAGTTTTGAAGTATCGGATACTCCGACTCACATATTATCAGATACTTCTTAATTAATTTTGAAGTATCAAATCCTCCAAGCCACGTATTACTCCTTTTACGAAATTAGAATTGTATTATTTCTTGCATAACATCATGATAAAATATAATTGCGAGAATAAATAGAATATTTTTACAATACTTTGCTTAGGTTTTTTTTTATAAAAATAACATAGTAAGCTCAAATAATAGAAGTCATCAAATTGGCATATCTTTATTATATCATGCGTGTCCCCTACAACTACATAGAAGTAAAGATTAATAAGATAATATAACAATAGTAAAATTAAATATCAATAAATAAATAAGAAAATAAACTTGCATAGAATATTTTTGACTAGTGCAAAAGGAAAAAACATAAGGTCAAGTTATAGATTGTTTTGATATTATAATATCAACATATTAGACTTGATATTGAAATGAAATATTTGCAAGACCTATTGAAAATTGAAAAACTAAACTAGCTATTAGCTTAAATTAATACCTAATTCTTAAAGATTAGTATTTTGCATTATAAAGTTACTGTAATTTCTCATCATTCTTGAGCTTATGTGTAACTCATTGCTAATAATTTATTTATTTTTTATTTTTTATTTTTTACAAACGTATCCTAGCCGTACCCGTACCCGTATCTGTATCCGTATCCTACTTTTTTAGGTTTTGTTGTATCGCCGTATCCGTATCGTATCGTATCCGTATCTCGTATCTGTATCTGTGCTTTCTAGCTAGAAACATAATTATATAAAATTCCTATCAGTTTCTCTATGAAATCATGCCAATGTCTAAATATCATTGTTTCTTTGAATTTAGCCTTCCTTGAGCTTCTTATACTCTGCATCATGCCAATATTTATAATATTATTATAGTTTTATTTTATGATTATTTTTATGTTTCTATCGATTTCTCTTTAAAATCATTTAAATTTCCAAATATAGCCGCTTCTTTGAATTTACTCTTCCTTGAGCTTCTTATATTCCGCATCACTAAGGTTCACATAATTCACTATGTTTCCTATTTCTTTATTCTTGAAACTGCGCACAAAATTATGGTGAACTTTTCCAGTCACTTTCCTTTTGTGTAACCTCTACCACTTGTTCTTGTGGAACACAAGGCATTTCAACAACATTAAACATTTAGTGTCTGTTTAGATGAATGTGAATTTCAAATCAAGGGATTTGAGGTTAACTAGATAGAAAACAATGAAAAAAGATAACTTGAGATAGAAGATATACATTTTAGTAAGATCCTTTGTAGCTCGAAAGCAAACTCTTAGCATGATTCCACACAACTACTATTATATGATTATTTCAAATCCATCGTGATAAAGCTATTTAACTCAATCTTGATAAAGCTATTTAACTCAATCTTGATAAGTAAACTATCATACCTAAATTTGAGTTATTGTACTTGAATGATTATGGGCAAATCTCTTGATTTGAAATTCAAATCCATCCAAACGGACCCTTAATTTTGTGCTTTATGTTAATTTATGATTGTGCATATTTTGGCTTTTTCTATGACTATCAGTGTGGATTTCTTTGTAATTAATTTGTGGATTTTTTGAGGCAGGAATGGCTTATCCACAGACAGCCAAAAGATTTCTTTTGCTGAGATGATGACAGATGATGTTCAAACTTCTAGGGAAGAGAGATGCTTTCGATTATGGATTAACAGTCTTGGAATTGATTCATGTGTCAATAATCTGTTTGAGGATGTCAGAGCAGGGTGAGATTGTGATTTCCTTGCCTCATTTTTGAGTGCCTGCTAATTTTGCTTGATGTTTATCTCTGTTACATGCAGATGGGTTATATATATATATTTTTTTTTTGATAAATACATGCAGATGGATTATATTGGAAATTCTTGACAAAGTTTCTCCAGGATCAGTGAACTGGAAGCATGCAACCAAACCTCCCATCAAGATGCCTTTCAAAAAAGTTGAGAATTGCAACCAAGTCATAAAGATTGGAAAGGAATTAAACTTCTCTCTTGTGAACGTAGCTGGAAATGATTTTGTACAAGGAAACAAGAAGCTCATACTGGGTTGGTGACACTTCATCTCCTACCTCCCTTGCCTAAAAAAAAGTAGAAAAAATGTAATTACTGTATCTGGCTCCTTTCTTTTCTTTTTTTCACTTGAATGAGGCTCTCTGTTGGCCATTGGTTCACTGGTTGAAATTCATCCCAATAACCTTGAGGTTATGGGTTCGAATATGAGGGCAGTCACTTTGTACATTGATGAAATCGGTAAATGGATGGTCCACAATCCAGTGAGATGGTGATGGAGTGGGGCTTCTTGGTAATGGGCTGGTCTTCTTCCTAGGCAAAGGCTTGCAAAATAAATAAATAAATAAACCCTTTGGAGTGCACCAGTGGGTGTCCTCCTCAAGGTCCTCCTACGATCAAGTTGGTGGTGAGCTCGAAGAAGACTGTAATGGAGATTTAGGGTTTATGAATGGATTACTTACCTTCCACAATACTGTTGAGTGCATATATAGACCAACCTCTCAGGTAGTGTTTGGTTCAATAGAATGAAGTGGAATGGAATGATTATTCCATCAAAATGTCTATTCCCATGTTTGGTAGACTAAAAAAATAATGAAAAATGCATTACAAACGGAATTGTATTGTAAGAGAATGATCATTCCATTGGGGACCCTAGGGAATGATCATTCCATTTCATTCTTATTCCGATGAACCAAATAAAGCATGAGTGATTTGCTTCACATGGGGGGAATCATTCCATTACTCCTCTCGCCAATAGGAGGATGCCACGTGGGCCACTATCATTCGAGGAGGTTGAGTCTATGAGACATCTTTCTGGTGGCTACTGGCAGTTATAGGTGGAGGAGACCACCCTAGATCGTCCCATACTTATAAATAAGGCACATGTTTATATGCTGGTTGGGCAGGAGATTCTGCTGACCAGCTTAGTGGAGTTGAGAGGTTGGCCTGACCTCTATCGCGGGTCATTGAGCTGGGCTACCCTGGATCTCTTGAGCCTGCTAGGTTATCAGCTCATGTCCCACTGGGCTGCATTGATGGTTGGGCCCCGATTATTGGTCTATACACCATACATTACAGTCAGAAGTTAGGCTTCTACAGAGTCCATCCATCCCTTGCAGACCCCCATTAATGGGGCCTAACTGGGTGTAGTTTCTAAGTGAGCCCATTGTCCAACATGTTAATTTTGCCTAATTTACTCTTCCATCTATGGGAATCGCTTTTGCTTTGCTACTTTTGACTTGCAAAGGAATTTGTTATTGTACTTTTGGATCATGTGGTTTCAGCTGTGAGAGACATTTGATATGAAGCTTGTCTAATTGGGTGCAGTCCATTCAAGCAATAATTAATTTGACACGCATTTCTTGGATCTGTTTTTCTTTTATTAAACAATTTTTATTTTTAAAATCCATCCACCAACTGTCGTGATCATGCATTTCCTTATGTATCTTGTGTATGTTCTTTAACATCTATGAAGTTTCACAGATTCAAATTTTATCTCGCTGGTTAATTTTCAAAAATGGAAAAAGGAAAACATATATTGACTACCTTTTCCACCTCAGCTTTTCTATGGCAGTTGATGAGGTTTACGATGCTCCAACTCCTGAAAAACTTAAAGTCTCGCTCCCGCTCCTGGGGAAAGGAGGTAACGGATAATGACATTCTAAATTGGGCAAACAACAAAGTGAAGAGCTCAGGCAGAGCATCTCAAATGGAGAGCTTTAAGGTAACTGACGACGCTTTGTGTCCCTTTTTACAAAAGGATTTTTTAAGCCATGACTGATCATTTCCGTACTTCATGGCAACTTTTGATAGGATAAAAACCTTTCAAATGGGATTTTCTTCCTAGAACTTCTTAGTGCTGTGGAGCCGAGAGTTGTAAACTGGGGTGTTGTTACTAAGGGTGAAACTGGTATGATATTCTTGAAACTTTTGGTTTCTGATGTGGAGTTATTCTTGAAATTGGGCTTCACATATGATATGGTTGATATATTTCATTTTATTTTCTCTCTCGTTTTCTTTTGCTGGAAATTCACATTGGAGACTGAGGTTCTTTAGCACTTGCCTAAGAAAACCTGAAATGCACCAATTTGTTTCATTTATGCTTACAAGTAGAACAATTTTCGAGTCTTTGTAGAAATTATGTGGGAAAGTGAAACGATACATGCAGCCATTGTGATCTAAGTTCCCTAACAGTTCCGGTGCTGGAACGAGCTAGCTGATCTTAGTTTTTCTTATTGTAATTGCAGATGAGGATATGAAGTTGAATGCAACATATATCATTAGTGTTGCTCGAAAGCTTGGGTGCTCCATTTTCTTATTGCCTGAGGATATAATGGAGGTAAAGATTATGACCTCGGCGAACTTACTTATTTAAATTTGTAATCACATCAAGTTTATAATTTCATCTACTTGGTTGGGATTACATTGAAGGTTGCGTAAATTTTGCCCTCGCCAGACCCCGCTTCAGCAAGGGGCTCATACACTAGGTCTATTTATTGGGATTAAATTAAATGAAGTCATTGTCAAATACAAATATCTGTTGTTACTGGACAAAATGTTAATTAACCTAACCCTTTGAACTGGATCACTTTACCTTTGACTGTCATTTACAACTTACAAGTGATAGAAATTGGCCTAATCTTTTCCTTCCGAGTTATTGGACCTTGCTAATAGATCTTCTCATGACTTGTTAGTAGCTAAACTGGAATATACGCTTTTTATTTTTTGACATTGATCAGGAAGTTCAAGAAAACTGTACCACCTTGACCTAAGAAGCGTGGATACTTCTATGGAGGGAATTTGTTGTGTCTAACACCTATGTCCGATACCGAGACTATTTGGACACTTTGAAAACGTGCCTAACAGTTCTCAACATGTTATAATAAAACAATTAAATTTATAATATTAGACACTTTACTGACACGTCATGGACACTTTGACAATGTCCTATGTGATGAATCGCTTTATAATAATAATGTTCTGCATTATTCAAAATACAACTTATGCACTCTAAATATATTTTGAAACATTTATAAGATGAATATATTGTATATATTGCAGTCTTAAATTCTTTAGAATATAATTGTTATGTAAATAATATCTTGATGTTTAAGTTATAAAATACAAGGCGAATTACACTCACGGTCCCTATAGTTTGGGACTTGTATCACTTTGGTCCCTCACTTTTCAATTGTGACACATTTGATCCTGAATTTTGAATCTTATTCCAAATAAGGACATTTGAAGATATCATTGCTTAATTTCAAGGGTAAAATCGTCAATTTGATAAAATATAAACTAATCTGACAAAAATAAATGTCAAAAAAATATTTTTGAATTTTAAAAAATTATTTCTACCCACTAAAAATAAAATTATGTAAAATTGATAAATCTTTTAGACATTTTTTTTATTTTATCAAATTAATTTTTGTTATGTGTTTGGATGATGATCATGTAATGGGTGGTTGATTTTATTTTCATTAAGTTAGTTTCTATTTTTTCAAAAGTCAAATATGACAACTTTGATATCGTTATTAAACCAATCCATTAAATTAAAAAATCCAAAATTAAAAACATTTTATATATTAAATATATCGATTACACATTAAGATCTTAACAACCATCCATTATATGATCATCATCTAAACACATAATAAAAATTAATTTGATAAAAATAAATAAATAAATGTCCAAAAAATTTATCAATTTTACATAATTTTATCTTTGGTGAGTAGAAATAATTTTTTTAAATTTAAAAATATTTATTTGACATTTATTTTTGTCATATTAGTTTATATTTTATCAAATTGATGATTTTGCCCTTGAAATCAAGCAATGGTATCTTCAATTGTCCTTATTTGGAACAAGATTCAAAATGTAGGGTCACATGTGTCACAATTGAAAAGTTATGGACCAAAGTGACATAAGCCCCAAACTGTAGGGACTATTAGTGTAATTTGTCATAAAATATATAACTTTCTAATATAATAGTGTCATGTTATATATTTTTCATTATCTTTGAATAAATTACTAATGCGTGTCCCACACATGTCGTTCTTGCATTTTTTGAAAATTAACGTGTCAGTATGTCCATGTTGTGTGGCTTGCCCTTGTCTATGCTTCTTATAGGTTTTGACTTTGATTGATGCACAACTTCAAATGTTCTAATGGGCTAATGCTATTTTATGGCAGGTAAACCAGAAGATGATCCTCATTCTAACAGCAAGCATCATGTACTGGGCACTGCACAAGGTCGGCGAGTCTGAATCCAATTTCTTAGCCGATATATCCCCAGCACCTTCTACCGATGATCTTTCCAAATTATCTACCGATGATGCTGATACTGTTGTAAATGAGGAAACCTCAACAGAGGTTGAAAAAGACAACCATCCCAAGTCCTGATACAGAGAATGACCAAGAACAGATATGCTTATCTTTTTCTTTTTCTTTTTTTTCTTCCAAGAGGTCAAGAAAATATTGGTTGCAGTTGGTTTATATGTCAATTGCTAACTTTTTTATGCAAGAGGACATGGTCATTGTTGATGATCGGATTCACCATAGAGAAAAGTGTTTTTTTTTTTTTTTTTGTAAATTTCCATGGTGTAATTAGGGTTTACTGTTATTAGGCACATTCTTTTTATCAATTACTACATTGATTCTGATAAATAATGAAATGGTGGAGACATGCTTTTGCTTTACTTTAAGAGCATTCTCAATGTGCAAATTCTTGTCTGAACTCTTAGCCATGTAATTATAGGTAGGGACTATGGCAGAGCCATTTTAGCTCCTATGCAATGCTATACAATTTACTTATTTGGTAGTATTTTTGTTTTAGGCCTCGTTTGGGAATCCTTCCTTTTAGCTAAAAAGTCAAAAAGTTACTAAATTTATCAAAAAGTCAAAAATTCTCTTTTCTCTCTAATTTTTATACATTTTTTCGTAAAAAGTCAAAAAGTCATCCCAAACATACTAATTTTTTTTAGCTCGTATTTTAATCAAATAGCCAAAAAGTTACTAAATTAGTCTATTCCCAAACGAGGCCTTAGTGCTACTATTAGCACCTGCCTGCCTAATTCTTTAGACCCCTTAATTTCTAATTTTTCATTTATTACACTTATACACTGAAGTAAAATTATATTAAAATATATCATTTAATGGAACACCTAACTACCAAATAAGAATTAACACTATACAATATTGTACCTTCACCTTTAGCTGTACGTATTCCACTTTTCTAAATCCTAAACATGTTACTCTTCATAACCAGCCAACATAAACCCTAAACTTGTTACTCGTCATAACCATCTTAAACTCTAAATGTATCATCTTCATCACCATGATAAACCCTCCTGAACTAGAAACCTAAAGCTCTTTTCAAGCCCAATGTATTACTCTTCATCAGTTATTTCACTTTGTAGAGCAATGGAGGACGATGACAACAATTCTGATAAGGCTGGCGTTCCATTGATAATTTTTTCAATCTTACATTAACATTCTTGGTTGTTTTCGATCATTGTTGTTTTGTTCGAGTTGTTCGGTACAGGTTTGCCGACTGTTACCTTAGGGGAATTTCCAACATCAAGATACAATAGTGTCATATCCCCTTTTACGCCAAAATAAACCCAAAAACAAAAATGTAATAAGAAGAAGAGAGGCATTGTTGTTGATAAGATGGGTAGTCAATATTTACCTTAGAGGAATTTCCAACGAGTTTTTGTTAGAAATGGTTTTAGAAAATATGATTTTTCTTTAACTTTGGTCTATTTTTTACGTGGGACCCATACGCCAAAGTTGGCGAGTCTAAGTAGTAACGCGTTGTATGTCGCGTTGTGATTCACGTGGTATATTTGGTTGCTCAAAACCATTATCGGGTGAATGGGAAATTGAAGCCAAAGAGAGCTCAATGGAAATGGTGTTTTTGGTGAAATTTCCTAAAGGTTTGGTTTAAGGTTTGTCCTACATTGATTTGATGGGCAAACTTTGTGTGGGTTTATAAGGCTTGAGTTTGGAACTTGGAGTAGGCCCCAAAGGGCACCCAAGTTTTGTAGAGAAGGAGGTTATGGGCTAGACCCATTAGACCCAAAATAAACACACGCGCCGCCACCGTCCATTCGGTTAGGCGAGCTAGGCTTGGACGCCGGTGCGTAGTGTGAGGTTGGGTTTGTTCGCCCCAATACTTATCTTTTTGGGCCAAAAACATTTCAATTTATTTTATTTATTTAGAAATAAAATCTGTCTATTTTTTATTTCAAATTCTGGTTGGAAATAAAATTCAAATTTTGGTTTGCACCTCTTCAGAAATTCTGTACAGTTTCGTATCTATCCAAACAGATCCGAATCTGTTCAAATTCAAAGCCTGTAGACACCCTATTTTTGACCGACCCTAAGACTCAAACGTCATCGTTTGTGCACGCTATGATTGCGCATGTTTGTGCTTGTTTCGAGCGCCCGAAGGTCTCGGCTAAGCGCCTTGTCTTTAAGCCTCTAAACCCTCTGTATTTTGGCCTTGTTTTTAGGCCAAACCTGGGTGCCTCTTGGCTGAAAAAGAGTGGGGCCTTGCCAGCTACTTTTTCTCTTTGCCAGCTAGTTGGAGTGGTCAGCCAGCTAGTTGAAGTGGCCGGCCGGCCACTTAACTGGCTGGCAGCCAATTTTTCTCCTTTTTAGATATTTTCCGATCTTTTGAGCCAGCTGTGGCTCACTGAACTCATCCTCCATACACGCGTATGGAGGGATTGAGCAAGCCTTTTGGCTTGCATTGCGTATATAAGGGGAGTTTCCTCCCCCTTGTTTGGGGTTCAAATTTTTCAGAGCAAAAATCTCCTTCTCTCTCTAGAATTCTCCCTCTCTCTCTATACTGTGCTATATTGAGCCTTAAAGTGTTGTTTCTTCACACTTTTGCACACAAACACCTATTCAAACACCGTCACTTTGGAGCTGAGGTCCCTTGGAGCTTGTTTTGAGGTCTTAGACTTGGTTTTGGCTCAGAATTGTTGCTGAAGTTGCTGTCTTGTTGTTGTTCTTCAAGGGTAAAGCACTTGTCCCTTTTAAGCTTTGTTTTGGTTAAGAGCTTTGTCACCTTTGCATGCTACTTTAAGGTTGGTTTGAGCCTCTTAATAACTCTGTTTTTAAGGCTTTAAAGTATTGGTTTGAGCCTTGTGTGGTTAGGGGGGTGGTTCCCCTCTTTTGCTTTTTGGCTTGTTAAGCCTCTTGAGCCACCTCTCTAGGCTTTTGAATCACCCATTGCTTGGCCTTTTAACCACTGAAACTCAGAGGAATTTTAGTGGTAAAAAGTTGTTCTTGTGGTCCAAAATAGGAGAGGGTGATCCCCTCTCCTTGTATGCTTATTTGCTAGTATTGGTGGCCTAATACATGAGCATGTGTTTTTACTTCTTTGTGGCTTTGTTCAAGTATGTTTTTGTGACTTTTTGGACCTGCCATAACTCTGTTTTTTGGTTGGTTTGGTCATTGGTTTCTTTCATCTTATACTTGTAGTGCAATCCTACTTGTTGGCCTAACATGCTTCATGCTTCATGCCTCATGCCTCTCATTCTAGCATGTGTATACTCCACTCCAGCATGTTTTTGCTGCTATTTTGACCTGCCTTAGGTCTGTTTTGAATGGTTAAGGTCATTTGAGCATTGCTTAGTATGGTTGTGGTGTAAAGGGCCTTGACTAGCTTTGAGTTTTGGGGCCTTTAACATGTTGTGCATGCGATGTTTGCATGTTTTGGCATCATTTTATACATGATTTTAGAGCATATAGTGTAGTCACACTCTCACATATTCCACTCATTTATGGCTTTGAGAGTTGTGTCTTTATGCCTTGTTTATGGGCCAATACATGAGTATGCATTTCTTGCTATTTGAGCTTCAATTTCAGCATGTTGTAGCCTCTGATTTAGCATGATTAAGCTCTGTCCAGAGCTGGTTTGGTTGTTTGTGCTTAATATTGCATGCTTCTAGAGTGATGCTCTTCACTAGTCTTGATGCTTATGGCTCCGAGTATGTCTTGCATGCATCATTTTCATGCTTTGATGTCATTTAGCATCCTATTTCAGTGCTGAAATGTATACCATTGCATGCCATCTTTCATTTGTTGTATCACTTTGAAAGAGGTCTTGAGCCCTTTGTTGGTTTGAGCACGAAATTGAGGCGTTCATGCCTAATGGTTTTAGCCTTCTCTTGAGGGTTTCTACTAACCAATGGCATGATGCTTCTTTCATGCTCAAGAAGCTTGTGGCTTGGACCCTCTTTCCAATTAGAGGACTTCTCATTTTTGGACTTAACCGGTTAAAGGACTTATCGGTAATCTAAAATGAGTAAACAAAATGAATCAAAGTAAAAACATGCCAAGATAACATGCTTGAGTTGCATTGCATGTGTTTAGATAGTTCAAACATGAGAAACGAGGGGCGTTTCATACTCAAAGTGATGAAACGTACCTCATTTCTGGGTGATCGTCCCCCTTGATTGTGCATGATAGGGTGGAGGCCTCTTGAGTCTTGTGTGTTATTTGTGCATTCATTGACTTGTACAAACTTGGCTTCTCGGCCATCGTGCATTGCCATTCTCGATTGGTGGCCCGAGAGTTGAGTACCACACTCCTTTGAGCTTGAGAAATGATAAGGAGTGTGGTTGTACACACATACCCTACAAATACCTTGCTTTGCCCCTTTTGTACTCTGTTTGCAGCAAAATTAGAGTGTGCAGAAGCAAGTGGCCGACCGGCCAGTGGAAGTGGCCCACCGACCACTTTAAGTGGCCTACAGCCTCTTTAAATGGCTGTAGACGTCCCCGAACGTCCCGGGAGGGAAATCCCATTTTGTTCATTTGAGGCTCACTACAGTTCAGGACTCAAAGTTACGGTCTTGTATCTAATCTCACAGAGTACAATGCAAGACCGATGAATCGTCAAAGAGTTCAAATCCGGCAAATCATTTTTTAAAACAGATTTTTTTTGAAAGAAGTGCCAAACATGGACTGCTTTGCCAGATACAGAGTCGCCACCTAAATATTTTATTTTGGGAAATTTAGGAAACCCTGACTCGTTGCCTAAGGCCACGTGTCCGTCATCACCAAAGTTGCCTCGGCTCGGGAACTTGGGTACGATTAGGGAAGGTCACTTCGTGAGCATCCCCGCTCGCCCGATCAAAGATCGGCCTCTACTAACCATGATATCAAGTTTTGAAAACATTATGCGCCCTTATTCCGGTTATTAGTCTAGATTTACTATGTGATGCGCACAACATACAAGTATAGACTGGATTGCCTGAATTGGAACAAAACATCTCATGTTTGTTTATTTGAAAATGGTTTGATGGTGCTACTCGTAAGTAGGCTAAGACGTGGATTTGCCACCCTCAGGTGGGCTTAGAAAACAAGATGATTTGCCACTCTCAAGTGAGCTTAAAAACTCACAGTCAATGCATTATTCCAACTTAGATAATCTAACCTTCACCCACAGGCATTCAGGCAGGTATATCACATAAGCAGTTAGCCTCATGGTAAGCATGCTATCATGGCAGTCACTCACACACATGCAAGGATGCTAAAGCATAAACACTCACCGAGTGCTCCGAGCCAAAACAGAAACTAGTTAGTAATCAATGCATGATCCTAGTTCATGTTAAGATGGCTAATGCAACACATGCAATAAAAATCCACTGGATTTCCAATAGG